GAGAACCACCTCATAGCCTTGATGGGATCCTACATCCCATCAAAAGTAGGGGGCTTCGTGTTATCGAAGTCCCTGTACTAAAAAAACTCTCGCCGCTCCCCCTCCTGCCACTGTTACAGCCGCGGCGGCTGCAGCGGCAGCTGTCTCAGCGAGGGTTGCATATCTGTCGTCAAAATACTCCATCATAGCGGACTTAATAGTCCCGAACAACTCTGGAATCTGACCCCATACAATCTCGACCACTTCCCCGCGGATGATCTCCCTGACCCGATCCTCTGTCAACATTGGCCCCTTCTGGCCGATAACCTCAGGTGCCACTAGGGCCTCCTGATCACCCTGTCCTGATCCTGATCCGGACCCCAACGTGAAACGCCTCGTAACTGCCATTCTGAAACAAAACAGGAAGATATCAGACAATCCGCATAACTAACTGGGAACCAACTCCCGACAAATCCCTAGGGGTTGTGACTTCCTTGCTACGTGTATGGGTCCTGTGCTTCCAGTAGTACGGGCCCATACTACCTTCCACACCTACCTATATTTGTCTCAAGTATCACCACAACACCCTAACAACATACATATCATAGAGAACACTCAATCTTCACTCCTAGAGGAAAGCTAACTGTCTCACGACTGACCTACCGGTCCCCCACAACTCACCCATCCATGAAACTTCCACCAACCCCGCAGTACTAGTGTATGCTAGCCATACATAACGCTGGACCCTATAGACTTTCGAATATCCAATCCTACCCTAAGCTCCCAATCAAACAAGAACAGAACATAAGGCTAAATCAAACATTCTTAGGCTATAAGATTTTAATTATGTACGGCCGTGATGCATACACTAAGCAACTACAGTAATGATGTCAATTTCATATAAGGAAAACCCTAGGTTATCAGGCATCATACAATCAGGCAACTCTATCATGCAATTCCTGAAGATCCCTAGCCTAGCACTAGCATGATGTTCTAACATATCACATAATCAAATAATTGTATGGTATTTTGGGGCTACTTACTGGCTCCGGCTGATCGTACATCCTGCATCCTCATTTACTTATTTTGAAAACCATTTTAGAAATCATTTTGAAAACCTTTCCTTGATTTGAGACTGGATTCACACGCATGTTTCTCCAATTCACTAAAACCAAGGCTCTGATACCAACTTGTAACACCCAAAAATTCAAACCAATTTAAACTTTTAAAAACACTTCAAACCATTAAAAATCATTACAACTTTGTTTTCAAAATGTATAATATCAGAGTTTTCCCAGAAACATAGACAAAACATGAGGAGCTGTACGATCAATCCTTTGCCTTGCCGCGATCCCCTGATGTACCTGAAACAATAAACTGAAACCGTAAGCCCGAGAGCTTAGTGAGTTCCCCCAAAATACCCATACCCACAACAATACTCATATAGTCATAAATAGCATGTTATTGGTCCAGTCAACCATCGGGTTGGAATACCCCAGGCCCTCAACCATCCGGTTGGAATGCCAACACACTATGGGTCTAATCATCCTCGGAATGGAATACCCCAGGCCCACAACCAACAGGTTGGAATGCCCACACACTACGAGTCCAATCATCCTCAGGATGGAATACTCACGGCCCACAACCTACAGGTTGGAATGCCCAGGTCTATTGGCCTTCGCACAGAGCAGATAAGCCTCAACCGCTAAACAAACACGTGCACATATAACAGATAATCACATAACAGTCTATAGACAATGCTTGATCTGACGGATCACACCACATAGCACATAACACCATCCTATCTACCAGGATGCTGATCTAACAGATCATACCACATATCATACAATATTATCCTACCCTCTAGGATACCAATCTAACAGATCATACTAGCATAACATAATCATATAACAATCCAAAGGGTCGGCCTTGGTACCTTAGACCCTTGAGTATTGTGAGGAAAACTCACTTCGCAACTGTCGTCTGAAACTAGAAAGCTCAATTCCCGGATCACCAACACGAACTCCACCACGTATAGTTACCATAAAACCCTTTTTCATAAATCTCTAAATTACCAGAATACCCTCAGAGGCCAACTGGTCAACTCCTGGTCAAAGTCAAAGTCCACAGTCAAATTCAACAGTCCATGTTGACTCGACTCGTCGAGTGTAGTTCACCGACTCGTCGAGTCCTTCCTGAACTCGAGAAGTCGTGAAATCCTTGATTGGCTCGTCGAGTTCCCCTTTAACTCTCCGAGTTCATACGTGTCCAAGAATTGGGAGAAACCCTAGCCGACTCGCCGAGTTCAAGGCAATCTTCAACGGACTCGCCGAGTTGTTCATCCAACTCGTCGAGTACATGGCCATCTTCATGTGGCTCGCCGAGTTGACTATGCAACTCGCCGAGTCTTTTCAGACCTTCATCCATGCAGACCCTTTTTAAGCCATGCCAAGGTTCCAGATTACAGATCCAATCTTCCAAGGCATGTTTCTCACGTAAAGTTGCAAACTTTACACGCATGCAAGGCCCTAGAGGCTCTAAATGACCAATCTAAGCTTCTAATGGAGCTTTTACTCCTTAGGAGAGTCTCATCCTTGCAAGAGTTGGAAACTTTATGGACTTAGAAGCCCAAGGGAGTTCAGTTCTGAAGTTGCAACTTCAGATCTTAGCTTATACACAAGAATAGCTTCCAAACATACCATGAAAACCCTAGAATTTGTCCAAAAAGGGGATCTAGAAATGAAATGAGGTCAGGGTAACGATTTATACCTTCCAGAAGATGCCAAATAAGATAGATTTCAGATCCCACAAGCTCCTTGCTTCTGAATACTTGATCTCCAAGCTCCCTTCTCCACAAAATCCTCTTCCAAGCTCAAGAATACACAAATGGAACACACACACTCGATTAGGGTTTGAGAGGGACAAGAAGCAGTAAAGGGGAGGCTGGGGGAGGCCAATGATCCTTTAAATAGGATGCAAAACCCCGGGATTTAGGGTTTCATATGTCAGCTCCTACTCGTCGAGTCCCTTCTTAGACTAGGCGAGTAGGTCATTAAAATGTGTGGACCAACCCGCTGCTACTCGACGAGTAGGGCAATCAACTCGTCGAGTAGCCCTTGAAATCAAGAAACTCACATATTAAATCAATACCTGAGAATCGAGGCGTTACAAAAACAGTAGTCAAGTTTAGCAAAACAGTAGTCAACTCTGACAAAAAAGTAGTCAAGTTTAAGAAAAAAAAGTAGTCAAATTTAACAAAAAAATAGTCAAATTTAACGGAAAAAAAAATAGTCAAATTTACCAAAAAAGTAGTCAAATTTACCAAAAAAATCAGTGGGAAATCTCCAGAAAAGTCCTAAAATTTTACCCTAATTTACGAAAAAGTCTCAAACTAAAATTTGTTTACGAAAAAGCATGAATTACCGGTAAAAATGGCAATTTGACCCTTTTTTCCGGTTTAATTACTTACATGTTTCACTAAAGTCTCATTGTTTTACCCTAATTTACGAATAAGTCCCAAAATAAAATTTGCTGATGATTTGGCCCTTTTTTTTATGTAACATACATTTTATCGGTTTCATTGTTGACTTAGACATCTAGTCATTAAATTAGCTGATAAAATGAATACGATGGATTATATAATGTCACGTTTACTGTAAAATTTGATATCCATCTCATCGGCTCATTTGTGACTATATATCTACATCAGCAACGAAACCAATAAAATGTGTGTTTCCAAGAAAAAATGGCAGAAAATGAGTTGATGTCTGATGAGATGGATATATTGGGTTACATAAGGTTAGATTTACAATTTGATATTTCTTATAAACGTAAAAAATAACGCAGTTGTTGGTAGTTTATGTAATTATTGTAGTCTTCGTTGGATGCATTTTATGTTCCAAAAAGATATACAATACATCAGGATATCAAGTTTTATGTTAACATAGCATTATATAACTCAACATATCCATCTCATCATCTCATTTAATGACTAGGCGTCCGGGTCAACAATGAAACCGGTAAAATGTATGTTATATAGAGCAAATGGTCAAATCATCAGTAAATTTTATTTTGGGACTTATTCGCAAATTAGGGTAAAATAATGGGGCTTTAGTGAAACAGGTAAGTAATAAAACCGGTAAACCGGAAAAAATGGGTCAAATCGCCATTTTTACTGGTAATTCATGCTTTTTCGTAAAAAAAATTAGTTTTGGACTTTTCCGTAAATTAGGGTAAAGTTTTAGGACTAGTCTGGAGATTTCAACAAATTCAAAAAAATTATCTACATTTTAGCAAATAATTATTCTATTAATTCTTAAAAAAATAGTTTATATTTTACAAAAAATATTTTTTAACAAAATAATTGTCAAAAAACAACGCACTCTACATTTTATAAACAATATTTTTTTCCCTATTTTTTTAATAAAAATAATTCTCAAAAAAATACTATCTATTAAAAAAAAAATTGTCAAAAAAACAACTCTACATTTTATAAACAATATTTTTAATCAAAAAAAATCTCAAAAAAATACTCTATATTAAAAAAAAAATTAAAAAAAACCGTAGTTTTTTGCACAAAACCTTAGTTAAAATAAAAAATAAAAATAAAAATAAAAAAACGTAACTTTTTTTACCCAAACCGTAGGCTACGGTTTGTAAAACCGTATTTTAGTGAGAGGATACCGTAGGTTTTAAAAAAACCTACGGTTTTGTTACTTCAAAAAAAAAATTTATAGAAAACACGAAACAGTAGACGAATATAAATAACTACTGTTTCGTGGGCTAGTTTGGGAAAAGCCTAATTTTTGGCTAAAAGTTATTAATTACCTCCTTAATTTGGCGAGTTTAGTAATTATCACTTTAATCAATTATAGAATAAATAAATTTGATTGAATTGCTTAATAGCAATATAGTAGCATCTTTTTATTTTGTAAAAAGAAGAAAAAGAGGGATAGGAAACGAAAACCTTTTTGAATTCATTTATGTCAATTATCGGTGGGAGTGTGGGACCACAAATACAATTTTAGCAGCAGCCAACAACCCTGATAAATACTACTAAAACACATTCGATTCCAATTCCAGCAACAAACATTCCAACACCAACAGAACTTGCTCTACCACTAATACTATCCGTCAACCGGAGAAAATGAGCGGTGCCGGAAAGACGGTGTGCGTTACCGGAGCATCTGGCTACATAGCTTCATGGCTCGTCAAGCTCTTACTTCACCGTGGTTACACTGTCAAAGCATCTGTTCGCGATCCCAGTCAGTTTCTATCTATAACTTGTTTTATGTTTTTGTTTCACTGAAATTTGTGCTTGAATCACTCTATCTGCAGAATCCGCTAGAGCGACTTGTTAATTCCTAATATTTTTGTTTATGATTCGTCCGATATTTGATTTTAGGTTTATTACAATTGTTTATCGCGATGAATTCTTCTTACAATGATCGTGTTTCAAATATTATACTTACTAAATGCCACAATTAGTGTCGGTTTTTTTATTCTGAAATACGGAACTCATCTACACAATTATAACTAATTTTCTGATAAAATTTTGCATTCATCAAACAAGTTGATTCTGCTTCATACTTCATAGTAGGATATAGGATGTTAGATTACATAGTAGTTCAACTGAAATGTACATATTCATTCTTCAATCATGAGGTATTGAAATCCCATTACTTGTAAGCATTTCTTTATGATGTAAATCTAATCCCCTGAACATCAAAAAATTAGATGTATGCTTTCAGCTTACCTTTCAACTTTGGAATTGCATATTGGATTTATCTGATTGCTGGTTTTCTGGAGTTGATTAATGTATTAATGCTTACTTTTGTGGGATCTTTCACTTTCAGACAACCCTAAGAAAGTAGACCACTTGCTTAAACTTGAAGGAGCAAAGGAAAGGCTTCATTTGTTCAAAGCAAACCTACTTGAAGAAGGCTCTTTTGATGCTGCAGTTGTTGGTTGTGAAGGTGTTTTCCACACAGCATCTCCCTTTTTCCATGCAGTCACTGATCCACAGGTTTTTCCAATACACTATCAATACATATATTAAAATACAAAAATCTCAACTTCAATACAAATTCAAAAGGCAAAAGATAGACAAATGATAAATCTCCTTGATAGCTTGGTGGATTGATGATGTTAAAAACACTGTTCTTGAATTTTTGAGTTTTGATTCTTGGGTTTCAGGCAGAATTAATTGATCCTGCAGTGAAAGGAACATTGAATGTGCTTAATTCATGTTCAAAAGCTTCATCAGTTAAAAGAGTAGTTGTGACATCATCAATTGCTGCAGTTGCTTATAATGGTAAACCAAGGACTCCTGAAGTTGTAGTTGATGAAACCTGGTTCTCTAATCCAGATTTTTGCAAGGAAATGAAGGTATAAATATAATAAATACACTAACTTTAATATTTTTTAAACTTATGTTTTGGGGTCTGATTTTTTTTTTTTTAATGTTTGTACAACAAGATGTGGTATGTGGTGTCCAAAACTTTGGCTGAAGAAGCTGCATGGAAATTTGCAAAAGAAAAAGGATTGGATATTGTCACCATAAATCCAGCAATGGTGATTGGTCCTTTATTACAGCCTACACTTAACACTAGTGCTGAAGTTATTGCAAACCTATTCAATGGTAAGTATTATTTGTTAAAATTTTAACAAATGTGTTTTATATAATTATATATCATCCAACTTTCATTTCTTTCTGTTACAGCATTATACTTTGAAAAAGAAAAAAAAAAATCTACCCATTTACAGATTCAAATAAAAAAGAAATTTTTATTGCTATAATTTGGGAGATTATTATAATACGATGTCCTGATTACAAAAATTGAAAGTATAATGCCTTAATAAGAAGAAAAAAACTAGAAAGTACAATGTTTTAATAGAAAGAAATGAAAGTAGTATGCTGTAATAATAATTAATAAACAAATAAATGGAAGTATGTTTGCTATTTCTTGCATTTATCTCTTGTTAAAATGTTTGTAAGTGTTCATTTTTTAAGAGCTAAATGCAAGAATTAGACAATAGCAATGTGTTTCCATTTAGTTGTTTATTGCACTTTAAAAATTTACTCAACTTTATTTTTTCCGGAAAAACACCTTACGTTTTTTCTTGTTTTCCAATCCTGCCCTTTTAGTCGTTTTTTCCGAAAAAAGTTGTAAAATGTGAGGGGTTTTCAGGAAAAACTAAAAAATTTGAGGGTTTATTCGGAAACAGTTAGAAGGATGAGGGTTTTTTTGGAAAAAAAAAAAAAAGACAGTTGAGGGTTTTGTTGGAAAAAATGAAAAAAAAAAAAAAAACACAAGGTCTTTTTCAAGAAAAAAAATAAAGATGAGGTTTTTAATCTAGAAAAAACATAAAACATAAGGTCTTTTATGAGATTACACTCGAAAATCTAATAAAAGACCTTATATTTTATGTTTTTTTCCGGATTAAACCTCATTTTTATTTTTTTTCCTGAAAAAGACCTTGTATTTTTTCCGAAAAAACCCTCAACTTTCTTTTTTTCCGAAAAAAACCCTCAACCTTCTAACTGTTCCCAAACAAACCCTCAACTTTTTTTATTTTTTCTCGAAAAAACCCTCACATTTTACAAGTTTTTTTCAGAAAAAATCCCTAAAAGGGCCGGATCAGAAAAAATGAAAAAAATACAAGGTCTTTAATGAGATTAACCCAATAAACAAATATATAAAAGTAAGTTGCTATTTCTTGCATTAATTTTTTTTTTTTTTTGTGTCACTATTATGTAGCACAAACATATGGAAATTCAAGCTTTGGTTGGGTTAATGTTAAGGATGTTGCAAATGCACATATTCAAGCTTTTGAAATCCCTTCAGCAAGTGGAAGATATTGTTTGGTTGAAAAAGTTGCTCATTTTTCAGAAATAGTCCAAATATTACGCAAACATTATCCTGAATCTCAACTTCCACAGAAGTAAAGCTTCTACTTCTTTTCTTATTTATTTATATTTATTTATTTATTTAAAAAAGCATCTTGTAAAAATTGAAAATCGGGTGTTAATAATGTGTTATGGTTACACAGGTGTGCGGATGACAAGCCTTTTGTTCCTACGTACCAAGTGTCAAAGGAAAAGGCAAAGAGCTTGGGTATTGACTATATTACCCTTGAAGAAAGCCTCAAGGAGACTGTGGAAAGCTTGAAGGAGAAGGGCTTTATTGGGACTTCATCAAACATGTGAAATCATTCTCTCACAACTTGTCGTGGAGATTGAATAATAAAAAGATGTTTTAAGTAAATTTACATAATGGAATTATGTATTATGAACGAAATGTATTGGAGCTTATTACGTCCTTTGTTTCTAGACATCATATTTATTGCTAGTTAATTTAAATTATTATATATTTATTGCGCTTTCTATGACATTACATGATAATAACATGACATAACAAGATGACATTATAACATGACATGTATTAGATTAGTGTGGTAATTATTATTATTGAGGTAAATACAATTTTACTTTGGACTCCATACTAATCCACGTAAAAACTAAATTAATCAAATTTTGTAATAGCTTTTACAATAAATAAATTTGTGCTCATTTTATATCTGTAGGAATGAAATTTTATGGGTAAGTTAACGTATTGATGAATAGTAAAATTATCAATTATAATCGTCCTTCAGATTAATCTCAACCCTTGATCATGTATGTATTTTATTTTCCTTTTGTTCCCACGTACTTGCTCCAAATGCGCAACAACTTTTTTTTCAAATTATCCCTTGATTGACTTTAATAAAAAAGAATTTTATAATAATTTAAGCAAGCTATTTTGGTTTGGGATAATGACTTAGGAGGGTAATAACGTTTCCCGTTTGTCCATATTAGGTCCCTCACGTATTTTTTGTGTGTATTACACCATTAAGGTTGTTATAACCGTTTAGAAATAATCTCTTTTACTGGTTTCTTCCTGTTAAAATGACTATTTGTAAACGGTTAGAATAACATTAATGGTGTAATACGCACAAAAAAAATACGTAGGGACTTAAAATGGACAAACAGGAAACGTTATTACCCTCCTAAGATTTTTAGTATTTATTATTTTGAATATATATTTTTAAGATTTTTAGTATTTATTTTTATATGTGTATTTCATATAAAGTTGTTGAAATTAAAAAGAATAAAAAGTAGAAATGTTTAGATTGGATTGGATTGGATTTTGTAACCACATCATCCAGTTAACCTCTAGCAAAACAAAACCTCTAGCAAGGAGCTAGAGAGAAGAACAAATTAAGGCCGGATTGGATTTTGTAACCACATCACGGATAGATGAAAACACAGGAAGGTCTAAATGAAGTCAATGCCCAACCCGACTCCACACCTGATCAGCAACCGAAAACTACAGCAACAAACGCTTCACACTTTCTTGAGAATTATGACACTCGGGACACAATAAGGAATCTATCACCCCCCCCCCCCCATTTCCACCAGTTTAGTTTTTACCGGAATGCGATCCAAAAGCACACACCATAAAAAATGTTAATTTTAATAGGGACAAAACGGTTCCACCTAGTAGGCATACTACCCATAGGAAGCGTCATATCATTAACCCAATTTTGTGTTGATTTAACAGTAAAGATATCCGACGATTCAAGATCCCAATACCACTTATCCGGCATTTCCCATATGCGAATAGGATTTAATATCTCCACAAGACAATCAAATTGGGACGATTCAGCCCCTCCTCTAATCCCCCGACGCCAATGAAAATTCCATCCCCCTGAATCCCATTATTCACTTACTCGATCATCTTGATTAAAGGCCAAAGCAAAGAGCCTCCCTAACCGCCCCCTAAGAGAAATATCCAAGCACCAAACATCCTTTTAGAACCTCGTTTGAGTCTCATCCCCCACCACTCTATCCATGGAATTAGAAGGAATACAACCATTCTCATGGAGATGATTAATGGATCCTACAATCTTTTGCCAAACACCCCCTCCAGTTCTTATTCTCAAATCGTCCGAAAAACCACCACCTTCCCCATGACAAAATTTGACAATTTTAACCCAAAGAGCTCCCTTGTCATTAAGAAACCGCCACTTCCATTTATAAAGAAGGCCGAGGTTAAAAGCATCCAAACTACCAACCCCAAGATCTACAAGTTTCTTATTTAAAAAGTAAAAATTTACTATAGGTGTTTACTTAGGAGGGTAATAACGTTTTCCGTTTGTCCATATTAGGTCCCTAACGTATTTTTTGTGTGTATTACACCATTAAGGTTGTTATAACTGTTTAGAAATAATCCCTTTTATCGGTTTCTTCCTGTTAAAATGACTATTTGTAAACGGTTATAATAACCTTAATGGTGTAATACGCACAAAAAATACGTTAGGGACCTAAAATGGACAAACAGGAAACGTTATTACCCTCCTAAGTCATTATCCCTTTTGGTTTTCTATCATAACTTTTGTTACGTGATACTCAGTATAAATATGAATGTATCATTAAGACAATCTCATTTATTTTAGACATGACATAATTTTGGTTTCAAAATACATTTTTCTTTATAGTTTTATATGTTTTCCGTATTTATACTGTTGAAATATGATATTCTACAAACGGTCGAAGTTACTTAAACTTAAAAACTGTATGTCATTTTCATTGACCCGATACCTAAATATTGTCCGATTTCAAAAATAATTATTGTAATCATCATAATCACCTACTTCAACTAAAAGTATTTGTAATTTATCTCAATAAAAAATATCACCAAAATACGGAATTCGGCAAATTTCTTATCCGATTTTACAAGATATATTCTTTTTACAAATTTGTTTTCCAAAGTTTTTTTACATATTTGTTTTCATGTAGTAGGGTTGTAAAAACGTGTAAAAATCATTTTATGAATATTCGTTTTCACAAACCAAAAATGCACTATTATGTATAATTAAACATAATTCCATAGCATCATATGAGGGGTGCTACCCCTAGCTTATTACATTTTCTCAGCTTACGCAATTATTCGAGGGTAACTAACAAGTGAACTCATCTACAATAAAAGATAACTAGCTGATTTTTGTTTCGCTTTGAAGGTAGACTATGACATGTACACATGAAGTTGTAAGTCATTTTGATTCTTAGCTTAGTTACCCCTGAATGGCAAAGGAAAACAGTTGAAATTGAAAAACAATAAATGTCGAGTCAACTCGCTCGATACCGACTCGAAAAGTATTCGAAATCGACTCAGTTCGAGACGATTCTAACCCAAGCTCGATCTACTCGATTATATTATTAGGTTGAGCCCACATATTATAAGACTTGACTTGTGAGGCTCACGAGCTTAATCAAGCTTAGTCGTATTTACACTTTTACCCTTTATTTTATTAAAATTTGCATAATCAAACTGAGTAAGTTACATAACAAGTATGTATTGATGAAGCCAATGTCGGACTAGCCCACTTGGTAGAGGCTTTGCCTCTTAAATTTAGATTGAAGGTCTCGTATTCCAGACGTTTATGGCTTCGTGATACTAACTGTTTTCGTGTACAAACTGCTAAGCACTAACCCCGCTATTGATGAACAGTAAAATTATCAATCACAATCGTCCTTGGATTAATCTTAACCCTTATCGTGTATATATTTTATTTTCCTTTTGTTCCCACGTACTTACTCCAAACGCGCAACAACTCAATTTTTCACGCTTCCAACTCTCCCTCGATTAACTTTAATAATTTGGTAATTTTTTTTTCTTATAATAAATTTAAGCAAGCTATTTTGATTTTCTATCATAACTTTTGTTACGTAATACTCAGTATTAATATGAATGCGTTATTAAGATCATCTTATTTTTTATTTGCATAATGGTATGAATTTGTCTTAAATATATTAGACATGACATAGTTTCGGTGTCAAATATGTTTTTCTTTATAGTGTTATATGTTTTCCATATTTTATACTGCTGAAATATGATATTCTACGGACAGTCGAAGTTACATAAACTTAAAAAATTGTATGTCATTTTCACTGAACCCGATACCTTAGTATTTGTTGGAGGAATTAGGGTTTATGTTGGAGATCTAGATACCCCTTGGGTCGTGTGAACACTTTTCGAACTAATATTTCTACCTTATGCATGGGTTGCAAGAAATTAAGCATAGGATAATCCAAGAGGACACTTACGAATCTAGGTACAGAAATTGTAAGCCAAATTGCTACAAGGATTCTATGTTCGTTTGAAAAAAAGAGCTAATGATTGCGTACCTCTTCTCAAAGAGAAGAACCATTTATATAATAAACGAGATTTAGGGTTTGCCTCTTAGGGTTGGCCATCATGGGTTGCTTTGGAAGCAAGTCAAGGAAATCCGAATTTAATGAGAAAATCAATGTTTTCCAAAACTGACGAATTTCGTTAGTTTTACCATAATCACCCTTAAGAATTCGATTTTCTCACTATGTTCCCATATGTAAAATTCGTCATTTTTACCATAATCACCCTAGCCAAGGGCTTTGTCCCTTTGGACCCCGCTAGGGGGGCTGCCCCTTTGGAAACCCGGAGCCAGGGGCGCTGCCCCTGGACCCCCAACTTGTCATCGAACCAACTTTTAATTCGATCTTATACATGCGTGGACTCCGCACATACCCGTACATATATTAGAGTACAAATTATGAAGCCCCTTAGCTAACATATTTAGTTCTAATTACATAAAATGACATGGTGATGTGGGCCCTAGTGTGGAGGATCGGGCCCTTGCATTCCTAGAGGCCCACGATCGTTTGACTAAAGGGGCTTCACGGAAATGGCCATAACTTTGGCTACGGATCTCCGTTTTGGGCCTACGACCAGACAAATCGAAGCTTGAAGCAAGGAGCACGTCTAGATAAGTCCCCAAAGGGGACTTACCCGTTTTTGAGTCCAGAAATCGCTTTCTAAATTGGACTTATGGACATTTTTGTGTTTTTTTCATAATTTTTTGACTTTGTTTTTGGGTTTGTGTTTGGCCCATGTCTCTTTAGGGTTTCTTTTAAAATTCTGCTTCTTATTTAAGTCTTTCTGATGTAATTTGGATGGTCATGGATCAGTAAAAAGAACTTTCATTTTTCTCTCAAAATTTCGTGTGTGTTTACCGAATTTTGAAATCAATCTCACGGTATTCATAGAATCAAAGTGGTTTGGGCAAGATTATCCTAGGTATTCTTTTAGAATCAACAGTTTTGATCTTTGGTCATTTGTTCGCTGCATTAGTTGGTATCAGAGTCGAATTCCTGGTTCAGAATGCCTCCAAGGAGAAACAGACCACCTGGTGATGTTCATGAACAGGAACTAGAACAACGTCTTATGGCACGAACGGAGGAGAGGATGGATCAA